CTTTATACATGCTTTACAATTGAGTAAAGTTTGATTAAGACATTGCTTATTTAACTTGAATTAGTTACGCTTAAGATGGGTCTGTGGTAGCTGAATGTAATGTAAAGTAATGAAATGTTTTATAGGTAACAACAATGCCGAGTAAACATATCACGTTTCCTAGGTAACCACCTTACACATTTTCATGACGCTTTTTTGCCGAATGACACTGACCCTAAAATATAGACGTATTTACGTCAAAAAACAATGAACTATCCGTTTTTAATCAGAATACTAGTAGCAGATGGAGTTATAACACTTCGTGTATGTAAACAGAACGCATTTGTCTTGTCTCTGTGTTTCTACACGACTCGCCTTTTATAATTACTGTCTAAAACGACATTAGGTAATCAGTACAAATTATGACGGTCACAGAAACCGAGCATAGATTAGAAACTGGGATCCTGGCTTCTAATCCTACGCGAGGTATGCGCCTTCCTGCGTTGTCCTTTCCTGTTTAGGTAGAGGCCTTGAGACAGGCTGATCTCTGTGCATGGAGCCCCACAAAATGTACGAACGGGCCCACAGTTTCAACAGTGATTCAGAGTTGGAACAACCCACGAGGCTTAATCCCTACAACCTGGCCAAGATTACAAATTACAAGAACCCCCGTCCAACTGTTTCTAAGGCTGAATGGCCTGTTTGTAATCTACACTTTGTTATCGAATATTCTCAATATTTTATATTTAATATATGAGAGAGTAGAGAAAATAAAGTATTTTGAACAGCGTTATAGCAATAATCTTCCCAACTAAATTCCCGTTCCTTCATAAAAATTTGTGAATTATTACTTGAAATATGAATTTATTGCAAATGACGATAATTACATCTTGTAATGCAACTCTTCGCACTTTTTAATTCCTGTGTTAGTACAGCTTGAAAGCTGGAATGACAAGTGATCTTAGAAAACGTCTTTTCGCATATGTACAAGTATATATTTATATATGCCTGCGTATATTTGCTCAGTTAATGCCAGAGATACATTTTTCATGTATTTGTCTGTATTATTTTTACATTCGTTGGTACAGTGGAACCTCGATATAACGCGGGTTTCGGGGGGGACAGCTTCAGTACCCGCGTTATATGTCAAATACGTAAAACATGTGTAATCGTATTGGGGGATATGATCATAGCCGCGGTATATCGAGGTTCCAATGTATTTTGTTTAATTTATAGCAGGTAACACCTCTATATAAAGAAATCCCATTATGACCTTACATAAAAATAAGCAACGCAGATTACGTAACATTTTAAAAGAAACTTAAAGCAGATAAAATCAGTTTTGTAACACAGGCTTTGTGAAAGACGATAATATATATAATAATTATAAATCAGAACGACAAAATAAGATAATTATTATTTACTTCATATAAAAACAGAAATATCATCTAAGAATTAAATATAGGACTACATTAGTTACTTTACTGTTCATGAAAAGGGAAATTTGAATATTGTTCTCAATACAACTTCCCTTCTGCCTTGGGGGTTGAATCAGTACACATGTACTGACTCGTCCCTTTATTTAGGCTGGAATATTTTAATAAAAGGTCACATGCTGCCCGCTGATCGACGTTTACTGACCCATAAAATGTTATCTCCGCCTCTGATAGGCTGACCTGTAACTCATTCTGTGCTTTAAACAATCAATGACTCCTAGTGACAATTCGCGGCGTAGTGGTTGGCACTCCTGCTCCAAAGTCGAACGGTCTACGATTCTAATTACGTTTAGGAGGCCGACTATCATGATTTAAGTGTTTCGTGGTTTTCCTGTGTTATTTTAACTAAATTCCACGGCAGGATTTCGTAATGTGCCACGACCACTTCCCTCCACATATTTTAAAATTCATCACTTACGTCTATCCTATTGTTTGACGTCAAAGTCTATAAATTTCGTCTGTAGAGACGCCTAAGTAAATAACCCAAGGCTTAAACCAGTGGTATTCAACCTTTTTTGTTCGCGTACCTCCAGATATAATTTCTCTTCAACTTTGTACCCCCAAAGTTGTTGGTGTATAATTCAAGTTATACATAGTATATAATCTACATCTAAAATAAATTAAATAAATTACATTACTGATTATTCAGTGTTTATCATAAAATATTTTTTTTTTTAAATTTCACGTACCCCTTAAAATGTCTTTGAGTACCCCAGGTTGAATACCACTGACTTAAACGAAGCCTTAGTGGCTATTTCTTACAGGTTCACGATGAAGAATACAAAGGAGACTTGAAATTACAGATTTGCTGAAAATATGATCTTTCCATTGTGTACTTATTTAACTAACCCTTCTCTTGAGAAGCGTACACAATGAAAAACAGCTGATTTATTCCTTGAGTAAAGGGGGTAAGTAAGGTCTAAGCGTGTACCTCCTTTGTCGTTCCCAGTACCACGCTAGGAAGCTCAAATCTTTCTCTGGTGGTCTAACTACCTGAGCTCCTTGGTGCGTCCTTCATTACCGGCTCCAGCAACTTACGAGTGACACACCTAATGGCCTAGAAGCCAATGTTAAGATCTGCTATAACCACTGCGCACCGTTAGTGTTAGTGCCATGAGAAGAACTGCACCTGTAACGGGCTCTTTGTCCAACCCCCAACCCCCGAAACGATATAGGCCTATTAGTCTATGTGGAGTGCTATTTTCTCCGACACAAATCCCAAATGTCCACCTGGGAAAGAACATGGGTCTTCCCGGTGAGAAACCTCCAACCATCGCCTGAGTACCATCACATTACGTCTATCTAAATTGTAGTTTGTTGTAAAACAACGTTTAAATTCCAGTTATCTCGGACCAAGGTCACAGGACGAGCGTTTCTACAAAGTAGACAGGTAGAATTTGGAATGAGATAAAAACAATTGAAGAAAATTATGACGTTGTCTTGCATTGGTAAGATGACGGACGTCAAACGAACGACTGGAGAACTGAGTTTTGCCACAGCTGTCGGATTCTGGTAGAAACAGTCAAGGGATAAAACCATCTGAGAGATACGGACGTAGAGGCTACATATTTAACCTTTCAACTGTACCGATAAACATTTTACAAGGCCACATACTCAGACATTCTGCACACCTAACAGACAATTCTCTGGGTGTGAGGTCTTCAACGCTTCTCGAATTACAAGAGCAAACGTGTTCTTTTACACACAAAGAAATCCAAGGCTAATTCTGGTGACCTTGACAGCCATTCCACTGGACTTGTACGCCCCAATCAGTGTCGAGGAAAGTTCTGGTTAGGACAGTGGAGAAAAGAAGTAGCAGCTGTTAATATGACTAATCATCGATCGTCCAGCAATAAACACACGTTCAGGTAAGACACAGCGTCACTGCAACGCCGAAGACAGGAGGACGTACGACCTGCTTTTTGAGTGGTTTAAGGACAAGGTCATTACGGTTTCATGAGATATTACAATTCGAAGAACGCCAGACTTTGAAGCATCCGCCAGATGGCAGACCGAGCTGGTGGCCGATCATTGTAATAGCAAATTACTGTCTTTCGTAATGAAAATTCTTTGCTCTAATTCAGTTTCGTAATTTTTCATAACTTCTAGAAATATAATTGCATAATAGTATGAACAGTAAATAAAACTGTAGTGTAATATTTGATAGACTTTATGAAACATTAAAGACGAATTATTTTGTGTCAACTTGTACACTTGTTGTTATTATGTTGTGAATAATTAAGGAACATAAATTTTGCTACAGAAGATACAACAGAGTTTCGAGTTAACAGAGGGGTGTCTACTCATTATTATTTCTTTTAATCATATTCAATCATTAAACATTTTTATATTTTCCGATTTGAAATCACTTGCTTCTGAATGTTTTGATATCTGACAGAACACCTTTGACAATGGTCGTCTCATCCAAACACTTCTACATACACAGATTACATAATTACGCTAATTAATAAGAT